TTTCGTTTTGCAGGTCACAAACTTTGGTTCATGACAGCAGTACATGTGCAACACAATAATGCAATGGTTACAACAGCAGTGGCAGGTGAAGGACCAGCCCCGGACATGCACGTGGCTTCAGGAAGTGGCTTCATCTTCACAGACATCCGGTAAGTCAGGGTCCTTCACTGCTTCTTTGCTCCCCTGCTTTCTATATGAATGAATTAAAAAGAAATAAACAGAGTATAGGCAATTTTTCCACGATAAAAATAAAAATCGGTGACGTTTTCTCTGAAAGGCAACGCACACCAATAACATTAATGACTATGCAAGACGTAACAGAAAACCAAAGCTGTGATTCATTAAAAAGGATGCCATACAAGTAATTGAAGGCGAATACATCAGCATGAGTTCACTGACTGATCTTAGGTATTCTAAGCCTTTGTACGATGACAATATAGCTCACTCCTTTGCCAGAATGCCCTTAGGTCCTCCTTCTATATCACTAGGACACGATATTTAGTTGTCCAAAACAGATTTAGAGAGATGCAGCAAGATTTAGGAGCTTATTTGGTTTAGGTCTAATTTTTTCACCCCGTTTTATGGCTTGACAGCTGCACTTTGTTTTCTCAAGTGCAATTGCAAATGGAAGCTACCCTCCCCCTCAAGGCCAATGAAAATCTCATCAGTGTTGCAACGGGCACTGTAATTTCACTTGCAACAGGGACCAGCATCTCACGCAACTGGTTTCCCGGCCTAACTCGGTGATGTTACAATAGAGTACAAACAATAGCACTAGTGCTAAGCTGTGATAGAAAAAAATATTAAATATGCTGCTCAAGATTTAAAAAAAAAACCCCTGTAGGTGTAGCAGCCCCCAGAGAAGTAGTCTCAGGCACTGTTAAATAGCTAGGGCAGGCACAGAGCACTACATCGTGGGCACATCTACACCTCACCCTATGGTGACAGCAATGTGCTACATCGCCGCATGGCGTGCTAGAGCAATGTAACAATCACGTGGGTCTACATGTGATTGGCAGCTATGTCGCTGTAGTGGTGCACTCCACTTTAGTGCAACGTAGCGGCAAAATCTAAACATGTGCTAAAGCATGGTGCCATAGCAATGTCGCCGTATGATAATGTGTAGACGTGCCCTGTAAGAAGGAACGCTTCTACCACCTCACAGGGGACCAGGTGACATAGTGTGGTGTGGCACCCTTAATGGGAGCTTGTGGCACCCCAGGGTCCTGCAACACCCCAGTTGAGAATCACTGGTCTAAGAGAATTTTAGACTCTAATTCAACACTGAGAACAACTCTCAGATCAGCTACCAACCTCCCCCCCCAAAAAACCCAACCAACCAACCAAAAAACAGGAAATGGGGCTGTACTTAGGGTACAGTGAATTGGGGCAACTGACCACTCTGGTCCCCATGCTTTGGCAGAGGTGCTGCCTAGCATCTGCCCCACAGCACAGCCTGGCCCAGAGCCCCTGTGAGGCTGCCGGGCACGGGGCACCATGGCTCAGCTGGGTTCAGGCCCCCCGCTGCAGGGGCATCCCCCACCCAGCCTGGCCCGCCCAGCGTGGCCCTCCCCTTGGCTGCCTTGCGCTGCAGGTGGCCCCCTGGGGTGGGCTGTACCAACGGCAGCGTCCTCAGCACCAGCACCAGGGCTGCCACCTCCATCCTACTCTGCAGCCCACGCTGCCCAGCTCTCCCAGCCCTGGCCCCAGCCCCACAGCCAGTGAGCGCCAAGCTGAGAGCTGCAGCCCTGCCCCTGCCCTCCCAGTGGATTCAGATTGTTAAGGGGACCCCGCACAGGCTGATTTGCCCTGGGCCCTGCACCTCCTCAGGGTCAGCCCCGTGGGCAAATTAGAATCAAACCTTCTAGTTTGAAGCTGCAAGAAAAGCAGGCTGAGGCGTTTTTTCAAATAGGGAAACAAAAAGAAAACTGGTTGCCATTAAACACATTCCTTTCCACCAGTGTGCCATCACACCCTGGTGATAAACCTGACCTTGAATATAGGCAATCAATCATTTCCCAGTGTATTCTCAGGCCTGGCTCTGAGATGCTTAGTAATAGATCAGTCTTGGGTGGCTGATATGAGTTAGTTCAGGTATTGTCATGACCCTCTTTAAATGCTTTATTGCCTTGAACAGGAAAGGAGGTTCCATTATCAGATACAATATGAGCACGTCTGCATGGCTGGATGGCAAGAACATAATTCAACAACAGATACAGCCTTACTGCTTACAGAAAGCCTGCTATCATTTTGTACTGTGTGCTACTGCCTGCAATTTGATGCATCAGATTAAACGTCTCCCTTAATTCTCAGTAGATGATACCTGTCTGTATACCTTGTTTTAGTATTAAAGGAAATATAATCTCCAGGACAGAAAATGAGCTCAATGCAGCATAAACTGACATGACATTGATACCACTCTGAATCTCAGCTAAGAATCAGTTTGTGCAGAGAGTTGGCGTTACCTAGCTGTTAGTATTCTGCTGTCTGCGCTGCCATATAGGATGGCTGGGTTCATGCTGTGATGTCTAAAATTAAATGGAATAGCTCTCCTTAAGGTACTTACTATAACTTGGGTTATTTTTTCCATCAGCAGACTGATAAGCCCTGGCTATAATGGTTATGCAAGAAGCCCAACTGTCTCTCTTGCAGTAAGCTCCAAGGATGGAGATACCCCAGTTCTTCTAGGTAGCCTGTTCCAATGCCAGACCACCCTCATAGTCAGAAAATTCTGCCTATTCTCCAACATAAATTTCCTCTGCTGCAGCTTGAGGCCATTGCTCCCAGATCCGTCCCCTATGGTCAGAGAGAAAAGCCCATCTCCATCCTCTCTATGATTACTCGTCAGGTATTTGAAGGCTGTTATCAAATCCCCCCTCCCCTTCCTTGCTTCTCCAGACATGAATAATAATGCTAAGAATGAAACTGAACATTTTTAGAGAATTTTTGTAACATAATGAAGCAAGCCTCACGACACCCACATTTTACATACAGTAGAAGTAAGGCAGAGAGGCGAAGAGACAATGCACAATTAAGTTCCTAGTCCCATGTTCAGCCCAAACACTTGCTCTCTCTGCCCTGTCACCGAATAAGAACTAAGTGGTACCCATTTCATCATTCAGGAGGGACCAAGATTCATTTGCTACTCCCACTGACTTCACTTGGAAATATAGGTGAAACTTAATGGGAATGCAACTACTGCAAATTGTGCCCAGTTCCCTAAGAAGAGAATTGGATCCCATCTATTTAAAGAAAAAATGCTTCAAAACAATGGACTCATCTCTCTTACTGGGAATTTACTGCATCACTCAAGTCTGCCTGTCAGGGACCAGGCACGTGCTCCAGCCTGAGGTAGTGTTTCCAAAATTCAGCTTTGTCTGCACTAGTGATTGACTCCACTTCCAGTATTCTGTGGCCTGACTTTCCTGTATCTACAGCAGTGCAAACACTAGGCACGGACAAGAAACCCCCTATTCGAACTGATGGAGCATATTCTTTGCTTGAAACTGGAGAAAGCAAGAGTGGACCCTTCCAGATGGAATCAGGACAAATTCCCAGCAGATAAGCCCCAGTCATGCCTTTACTGGAAGAATATACATATGATGCTGTTTGGGGGCTCAACAAGAAGCCATGGATGAAACAAAGAATCTCGGGCTAACGGCAAACTTTGTGCTTTCTTACATATTTTTACCTTCTCTGGGTGCGGAAGTAGGGAGGGATGCCCTGAAGTTCCACAACCAGAACCACAGAGTTTGAATTCTGAAAATCAGCATATTCAGAGCTTGACCCTTGACATCATCACATAGATAAGTGTCCCATTAACCTCCCTGGACCTGTGCACAAACATCTGAAGCAGAAATGACTGCATCTTACAACGGAAGTTTCTCCTGTTCATTCTCTCAAAAAATGTATCACATTGAAACCCAAATGCTAGTGAAAGTGCCATACCAATTCTGACTCCATGTGTGTTCCTTTCCAGTATTTTTGAAGAATCTTTCAAATGTCTTCTTGTGGAGAGAAGTGAATTAAGCTGGCATCATTCATTGAATTTTACAATGATAAATGAGCACTTAGGCAAACAACTGTCTCCCTAATAATGGAACTGTTCACAACAGAATTTACAGACTCAGAATTTATTCCCAAGCATTCATCTGCAACCAGATCCCTCAAGTTCCTAGCAGAGTAACTACACTGCTAGCTAGCTGAGCATAGTGGGGTTTCACCTTCAGGCTGTTTTTTTAGTGGCCTTCAATAGTTCATATTATCTACGTTATTTCATTGTTTTCTAATTGCACAGCATGTTCTGTGGGAAGATCCATGCCATTTGTTACACAATTTTAAAAGGCCTGGCTGCACGACGTGGCAAAGGCACAGGTGCCATTTGCTCCAGGCTGGGCTATTGTTTGCACAACTCAGGCTTTGTCCACACTGGCAATTTACTCCAGTTCCATTATTCTCTGGCCAGTCAATGCTGTAGTTATAGGAGTGCAAACACAATCTATTAACAAGAAACCCTCCCTTTGCACCAACAGAGCTTACCCCTGGAGAAATATCAGTGCTACAAAATGGTCAGTGACGGGAGCCTTAAACAGACACTGAAAAGCTTTCCCTGTAATACGTGAGAGAAAGGGATTTCTTAGGGTGATGTCTTTTATTGGACCAGCTGTGCAGTTGAGATAAAGTTAGACAAGCTTTCCAGTGAAAGATATTCTTCAGCAGGCCTCTGATCACAGGAAGCCAAGCACACACAGGGATACGAGTCACCCATAAAACCGTGTCCCAGAAAAACTAAAAGAGCACAGGTATTAGCAGAACTGCTTGCAGCAGCTGTGATTCTAGCCAACTCCCTTTACCTTTCATAAACTTTTACTATTGAATAATAGTGCACAGCCGCCAGCCTGCAGGCTGAACCTGGCCTGTGGGGCTCCCCATAGATCTGGAAATGTGGTAGGGGGGCTGTGGCACAACTCATGGCTGCAGCTTTCAGAACCCCATACTGGATCTGGCCCGCAAACTGACCTTGCCTACAGGATCCGGTCCATGGACTGGGCTCCATGTCACTCACCTGGCCCATGAGCATCACTGCTATTGAAGAAGGGCCTAAGTTGCAAAATTTAGATTTCCAAATTCTCAAATTTTGTGGGTGTTAGACCCTGTCTCTCTCACATTCGACACATTTCCTTCAGCCCT